AGTAAATCCCGATGATGGGTCGGCGGCGATCTGCAGGTCGTTTGCTGAATTTTGGTGGACCCACTAATCTACTCTAATTAATAATACCCTGACCATATGTGAATAAGCGTTTCCACTAATTCCCAACGGATCAGGATATTATTAGTACCATTTTTTTATGGTGTGGGATTATAATCATAACATGTACTATCGGAATGATCTGGTATTGTAAAATAATTTTTTTATATGCTGCACACCGCTTATTGGTAATACTTGGATTTGCTCGACAACTGTCACAGAATTTTGTATCACTTGCAGAGATAGGAATCAGAACTTATATAAATTAATCTCAATTATCTCATTTCATAAACCACATCTGTATAAACATGAATTCTCAACTGCCGACCATCTTAAACACAACTTATTTAACTTCGGGACTAAGTCGCGGATTTTTCGAATTTGTGACTAAAGTTGGCGAAGCTAGAAGCAAGCAGGTAGAAATACGAACATTCATATATAAGTCTCTAAAAAATTGAAAATTTAGATGTAGTCTGTTGAATATATATTTAGCAATTGAATTAAATTAAAACTTTTTTTAATGATTAAAGGAGGAAGACCGATATGTGTCCCAAGAAATTGATTCTCTCAAAACAAAATTAAATCAACCCGATATTTCATCTGTAAATTTTCTTACTTTATTTAAATCTCATATCTTTTCCGAATATTCATAACTTAATTTCTTTTATATAAATTGAATAATTTGTAAATATACATATATATTACCGAAAATAAAGAAAAAAATCAGAGATTACATAACCAGATTGATTTACTGTGACATGTTGGGATATAATGTCGAATTCGGTCATATTCATGCCGTAAAATTGGCACAATCTGCTAAAGGATTGTGGGATAAACGAATTGGCAAGTTCTTTTTGCAAACAAAGTTACGAGAATAATGTAAACAATAAACTTACCTAGACATAGCATCGAATTAATACTGAACGCATAATCATATAGGCTATTTGGCTTGTTCTTTATTTTTATATGAGACGCATGAACTTAGCATCATGCTAATTAATACATTACAAAAGGTATTTTAAATCGTGAATTTATGTTTGGCTTTGTAACTATTGTTAATCATAATATATATTTTCACAGGATCTTAAGAGCAACAATTATCTTGAAGTATGTTCTGCATTGACTGCTTTATGTCATTTACTAAATAAAGATATGATACCAGCTGTATTTGGACTTGTAGAGGAAGCTTTAACGCATCCAAAGTAAATAAAAAATAATTTTAATTACATTTAGTTCACATGCTATATTCAAATTATATTAACAGTTCATCTGGAATTGCTTTTTCGTAAGAGATATTGTTCGTAAGAAAGCCGTAATGGTATTTCACAGATTATTTCATGATGCTCCAGACACAATGATGCATCTTGACGAAAAGTTTCGTCAAATGTTGACAGAGCATGAACCGAGTGTATTAGGTTCCATACTATGTCTTTTTCTTGAATTTGTAAAGGTATTATTATCGCCAAACTCTTTAATGGTTATTGTATATTTACTTATTACCTTTATATACTTCTTGTTTAGGCTGACCCCAATAAATTCAAAGATTTGGTTTCTTTGCTAATTAGCATTTTGGAACAAGTTCTTGATAGATGGTTGCCACGGAGCTATGACTATCATGGTGTTCCAGCACCATGGATCCAAATAAAAATAATCGAGATTATGAGTTTACTAGCACAAGATGACGAAAAGTAAGTTATACTACGTATTACCGTTCTTCATGATTTTACATTTCTTATTAGATACTTCGTCTAGGATAAGTTCAGAAATTGGACCCCTTATTGTCCATACTCTTAGAAAAGCAGAAAATGGAGTAGATGCTGCTTATGGTTTGTTTTTTTTTTTCTTTGGACGTTATCTTAACATTAATTATCACTAACTTTAAATTATGCGAACAGCGATAATATTCGAATGTATTAGA